ATATATACACTATGTAATTTCTTCTCTCATTTGTCTTTAAGCTTGAATGGGCTTTGGGGACATATGACCCAGATGAGACAATTGCCAAAGTTGGAAACTTGGTTCTTGGAAGGAAAGATTTTTGAGAAGGAAATTATTTTACATAAAGAAAAATGCATGCTGCACATGCATTGTGAAATAAAGTATATTTTATATAAAATACCCATAAGTTTCAAGCATTATTTTTCACCATCATGATCATGAAGTAGCTCTCATAATACAATGAAACAGATAAATTTATACAATTATATTACACAAAATCAATGTTTTAAAATGCTTATTGTACTGTAATGTATCATTAAAGTATGATGTTTCGTGTGTAATAAAAGCATGCCGTTTCGTGTCTAAGCAAATTACGCTCTAAAACGGGTGTTATGCTTCCCCCCATTTGATATCAGTCATTTGATATCAAAAGAGTGAACGGGAAAGTTAATGAATAGCTTTCTTCAGATTCTATCAATCTCATTTTGGGTTGATTTTGATCATTTGATCGACAAAAGGTCTTTTCATTTTTAAATTACTCAGTTTAGAACGTAAGCTCCGCCCCTCACTTCCGGTCCTGGCGCTGGTGTTAGAACGTAAGCTCCGCCCCTTCCGGTTCTGCAGCTGGATAGGCCTACTATTGGATTGCGGTGCCAAACTTGCCAAACACGGCATTGCGTGCGCAAGTGCTGAGAAACAGACAACCAATCACATGCCTGAAATTCATGTGCTTTGGACAGTCATGGAAACACGGCGTGTTCTGGCATTTGTGGGAAAGAATGTCAAATGTTGATGGGAGTCACGTCAGCTGAAGTGAAGAAGAGGCTACCTTTATAGTCCGAAAAATCCATTATATTGCAGTCGGCAATGTATAATATGATGATGCGCAATGTTAGAGCCTTTATGTGAACAGGTTGAGTGCATCCAATCAATGAAACGTCTCGGTTACATATGGTAACCCTCGTTCCCTGAGGGAGGGAACGGAGACGTAGGTCAGACTGACCAATAGGAATCTCGCTAGAGAGGCCAATCTACTTCGAGTGAAACTAAAACAAGCCAATGCACATTGGCATGCAATCATTTGCATCAGCTGCGCGTCCTCGTCAGCGCGGGTATTTAACAGCAGCTGTTATGATTGCACGCTAGTTTTTTGCTGAGGAGCCAAACCTGAAAAAGCTGGCCGCCCCAGCGGGCGGCAGCAGATGTGGCGACGGGACCTACGTCTCCGTTCCCTCCCTCAGGGAACGAGGGTTACCATATGTAACCGAGACGTTCCCTATCGGTCAGTCACTACAACGTAGGTCAGACTGACCAATAGGAATCCCTACCAAAGCGCCACAGCTGCTGCACCCCATCCAGCGCCCCATGCAAGCCTCTACACCTTCTTGCCTAGAAGGACGATAGGAGGAGGCTACACACAGAGTGTATCTGTCACTGTTGTTCCGTAATAACCCATACACTGAGATTATTGGATAACACTGGGAAAGCGTGCCCTTCAGTTAGGAAGGAGGACGCTGCGGAAGCCACTTACTTCAAGGAGTTATGTGGGGAATACATATGGACTAGCCCGAAGGCTGTACTACATATGAGATAGTGGGTGACTTAGCCCAAGGGAAAGACACGGCTTCCGTTAGGAGCAGCCGTGGAAAATATACACATATGGGATCCCCGTAGGGTCACACATATGGAACCCAGCCCAGATCCGGTTCTCAAGGATTCAGCGGAAAAAGGCCTGGCACCTGGACGCTCCGCCATGTCCGGGCCGAGGGGTTTTTGGAGGACTCAACAGGTTTTTCACTCTGGAGCAATAAGGGTGCACAGTAGGGTGCAGCAAGCCGACAGAGCCGGGCCTCTCGGTGCTTCTACCCGTTTAGGGTGAGAACACGGGAGGAGACCGGCTCTACACGTAGGCTATAATATCTAGCGAACGTGTTAGGTGTCGCCCAGCCCGCAGCTCTACAGATATCTGTTAGCGAGGAGCCACGTGCCAGCGCCCAGGAGGATGCGACGCCTCTCGTGGAGTGTGCATGCAACCTGAGCGGGCAGGGCACGCCTTGAGCTTGGTAAGCCAAGGCGATGGCATCCACTATCCAGTGGGCCATCCTCTGCTTGGAGACAGCCTTTCCCCTCTGCTGGCCTCCGTAACAGACAAAGAGCTGGTCTGAGGTCCTGATGCTTTGAGTTCTGTCCACGTACATACGCAGAGCGCGAACGGGACAGAGCAAAGCCAGGGCTGGGTCTGCCTCCTCCAAAGGCAGCGCTTGCAGGTTCACTACCTGGTTTTTGAAGGGAGTGGTAGGAACCTTGGGCACATAGCCAGGCCGGGGTCTTAATACCACATGGTTGTCACCCGGCCCGAACTCTAGGCACGATTCGTCGACCGAAAATGCGTGCAGGTCTCCTACCCTCTTGACAGAGGCCAGTGCAACCAGTAGCAAAGTCTTCATGGAAAGAAGCTTTAAGTCTACTGACTGCAGAGGCTCAAAGGGAACATCCTGAAGTGCTCGAAGCACCAGGGAAAGATCCCAAGAGGGTATGGAGGGGGGTCGAGGAGGATTCAATCGTCTCGCCCCCCTAAGAAACCTGACGACCAGGTCGTGCTTCCCCACTGTTTTGCCATCTAAGTGGTCGTGATAAGCTGAAATAGCGGCAGCATGTACTTTGAGGGTGGAGGGAGACAGCCTTCGCTCCAACCCTTGCTGCAAGAAGGAAAGCACAGACCCTATCGAACATCTCCGGGGGTCTTCTCGGCGAGAAGAACACCACTCGACGAACAGGTTCCACTTCAGGGCGTAAACACGTCTCGTGGACGGCGCCCGTGCTGAAGTGATGGTGTTAAGTACCTCAGGGGGTAAGTCACCTAGAACCTCCGCGTCCCGTCCAGGGACCAGACATGGAGTTTCCAGAGGTCTGGACGCGGGTGCCATAGGGTGCCCCGTCTCTGAGTCAGAAGATCCTTCCTCAGAGGAATGGGCCAGGGAGGGACTGTCCCAAGGAGCATGAGTTCTGGGAACCAAGTCCGGGTGGGCCAATAGGGAGCCACCAGAAGGACCTGCTCCTCGTCCTCCCTGACTTTGCACAGTGTCTGTGCAAGTAGGCTCACTGGGGGAAACGCATATTTGCGTAGGCCCCGGGGCCAGCTGTGTGCCAGTGCGTCCGTGCCGAGTGTTCCCTCGGTCAGGGAGTAAAACAGCTGGCAGTGGGAGGTCTCTGAAGAGGCAAACAGGTCTACCTGAGCCTCTCCGAACTCTCTCCAGATCAGCTGAACCACCTGGGGGTGGAGTCGCCATTCTCCCGGAAGCACAGCTCGTGATAGCTCGTCGGCCACACGGTTGAGCACGCCAGGGACATACATGGCTCGAAGCGACCTCAGACGCTTCTGACTCCAGAGGAGGAGATGGCGGGCGAGTTGCGACATGCGACGGGAGCGTAGACCACCTTGTCGGTTGATGTACGCCACGGTCGCAGTGTTGTCCGTACGGACCAGCACGTCCCTGCCCCGTAGCGGCCTTTTCAGGCGGCTCAGAGCGAGATGTACTGCTAGCAACTCGAGGCAATTGATGTGCCAATGCAGTTGGGGAGCCGTCCACACCCCTGACACTGCATGCCCGTTGT